TTCCTTTACTGAGTAGAATGATTAGAATTAGAATGATTCCCCTACAGCAGTAGGAAATTGTGGTCCTAACTCATTACTGTTTTTGAAGAAGTATCGCAGGACTTTCCATTTTCCAACATTGAGGTCATCTGATTTCCCACAGGCATCTTGGTAGAAACAGTTTTGCCATCAAGCTGTTTGTTGAAGACTCCCTTGGAGTGTAAGGGAGGGCAATTACCTTTTGAACTCTGTTTTTAAGTAAACAGAGCTGAGTGGAACAGTGGGAGCTGAAGGAATGTTCTCAAGAGCATATTAGCATAAAGCAATTAGACAGTGGTAATAAGAGTTAGTCTCTGCTGTTATGGTAACAACTGCCAGTGGCCTCTGAAACAACCTCACCTAGGAATCTTTCAGGGTGTCTTGCATTGCTCTTCTGGGGAATTCTCTGCCCCAGATGCCCTTATCTCTTGGGAAAAATTTTCTAATTCGACATAGCCCTTTAACACATCAGTTGTTGACAAGTAACTGTGCATCTCTTTCATTGGAAATATAAACTCTTTCCCAGGGCCATTCCTGCTTGCCCACCCCCTATCAACTTATCTCCTCCTCTGCCCCAGCACTAGCTCAGTGATGTGGAAACTTGACCCTTTATTTCTGTTGAATATATTGTTCTCAAAGCATATGTTCTCTTTCATTTTGAAAACTTCCAGCTCAGAGTGGTTCTTTTTGTGTTATAGTGAGGTCTGCAGAGAAAGAATATGGTTGGTTCATGGCCAAAGTGAAAATAAAGTCTCTACTATTGTCTCGTGCCTTGGATGTTTCCTATGTCATGTGATTAGTCTTTTAGCATCCCCAACCCCTACACCATGACAGGGTCTTGGCACTTTGCCCAGAATGGTAGGAACTAGAGAATTCTAATGAGAATAAGGACAAAACAGTAGCCTGTAGGATGGGAAAAGATCTTGATCAACATCTAATCTGACAAAGGGCTGATTTCAAAAATATATAAAGAACACAAGAAACCATATATCAACAAATGAAATAATACAATTGAAAGGAGGGTACAGACCTAAATAGAGAATTCTCAAAATATATCTCAAAAGGCTGAGAAACATTTAAGGTGATGTTCAACATCCTTCATCATCTAGGAAATGCAAATCAAATGACTCTGAGATCCTATCTTACATTGAAGAGCTTTTGAGACAGTCTCTTGCTATAGTCCTGGTTAGCTTTTGACAGTGTCCTTTGGCTTAGAGAAGCTTTTCAATTTCACATATTGCCATTTATTAATTGTTGATCTTAGTGCCTGTGCTCCACTCTGAGATTCCATCTTAAACCTGTCAAAATGGTTAAAATAAAAAACACAAATGACAGCTCATGCTGGAAAGTATGTGGAGCAAAGAGAACACTCCTCCCTTCCTTCTGAGGGTGCAAACTTGTACAGCCACTTTGGAAGTCACTGTTGCAGTTTCTCAGAAAGCTGAGAATCAGTCTACCAAAGGACCCATTAACTCAAGGCTAGAAACAACCTAGATGTCCCTCAGCCAAGGAATGGATAAAGAAAATGTGGTATATTTTCTCTCCCAAGCCTACATATATTTTTAAACACATTGTAAACTGTTTAGAAGATTTTTTTGTATGAATCCATCTTTACTCTATATCTCTTTTTTTTCTGACCACACGAGTCTTTAATTTGATAAGCAATATGGCTAGGATTAAAGCTGTGGCTTTGACGGCTGAATCCATACCAATCCTTAGCTCTCTGAGAGTCTTTCTTCATGGTGGAGGTGCTGGCCGGAGCCATGGTTATTGCCATAGGTCTATGGAGTTTCAATGTCCCTGCCACCACCAAGAAGCACGTTGTCAGCTATTCATAAACACCATTTAAGTGTTTGGTGGCAGGGCCTCTTAAAAAAGCTGCAAGATTTTTGCAGCTAAAGCTGAGTCAGGAAGCCTCTCTTAAATGATATGTTCTTGCCCTTAGCAAACGGAGCCCACATGAGAAAATGCTGCGACCAAGAAGCCATGCTTAATTCTGTTCTTTTGTGTCTAGAATTCCTTTCCAAGCTCTCTCAGATTAAACTACTACCAACACCTAACCAAACTGTTATCAGAGAGACTTCATTCAGCAACTGATGAAACACATGCAGACCCACAGACAAAAATTAAATAGAGTTTGGGGAATCCTGCACAAGAGGGAAAAAGGGATTTGGGGATCCTGGGGGCCAAGGACACCTTGGGAAAACTCAGAGAATCAACTAAACTGGTCTCATTGAAATTGAAGTCAACAGCCAGGGGGCCAACGTCCGGGAGCCTACATGAGACAGAATAGGTACTCTACATATGTGACAGCTTTGATTTCTTGTGATACTCCTCGCAATGGGAGCAGGAGTTGTCTCTGACTCTTTTGCCTGCATTTGGGACTCTATTCCTTATACTGGGTTTTGGTGCCCGGCCTTAATACAAGAGGAGTTTCTTAGTCTTACTGCAACTTGATGTGCCATGTTTTGTTGTATCCATGAGAGTCCTGCCTTTTTCTGAATAGAAATGGAGGTGTGGATGGGGTTGGCAGAGGGCAGGTGGTGGTAGGGGACTAGGAGAAGAGAAGGGAGAGGAGACACTGACCAGAATATAAAATAAGTAAATAAATTAATTAATTTAAAAAGTTTGACATTGAACCCATTGTCTTGCATACCTTGAAAAAATAGGTACATACTAAACAGTATATGTGGAAAATGTATTTTTTCTTCAGTTAAAAAATAAAAGAATAATAATTCTTTTTTTATTAACAACTGTTTGTGGCTTTTTATATTTAGTGGGAGGCAGGCCCCATTTTTATACAGGCAAGTGTAGTACATTTTGGAATCAACTTTGGTCTTTCCAATTGAATATACATTTTAAAGGGTATATTTACCTTGCTATATTTACCTTTTTATCTAGCTTTCTTTTCTATGTCTAGATTCTTTTTTATATCTAGATTATTTTTTGTATCTAAAACTACTAATACAATGAAGTGAAAGACATGTTTTATGTTTTCAACACCTAAATTTAGATATCTGAATTGGAATTTGGCCACTTTGCCATTATTGCTGATATTCAAGTTCTAGAAATATTAAAATAAAATATTGCTGCTTTGAGCAATGATGTGTGAAATCTGATATCCTTCTCCCAAAGAAGCATTTTGGATGTTGCATCTTTTTATTAAATCAAAATGTCTTAAAAATGTTATGATGCATGTTCTATGCAAACATGGATTCCAGAGGAATTGTGGGAAATCATGGCAGGTACTATTGTTGAAACCAGACTCAGTAATCATTATCTCCTACTATCTCCTAGAATCTTTTTATTCTGGGATCAATACTTCTTTTTTGGTCTTTAATTATTTGTAAAAATCAGATAAAATTATTTACATTATTATATGTACACACAAAATTATGCACTGATGTTTATAAGTATTTAAGCTTTAAAATGCATATTTGCTATGCCATTATTTAATAAATACTAAGGAATGATATAGTGGTCCACACCAACCAGTCATTTGACCTTTCACTGTCCATAATAAAGTAAAATAAAACCAAAAGATTTTTGAAACATTTTCAAGCTGCACAAGTTACTACATCAATTTGGAACAGTAGTAAGCAAAATATTCTGAAATGTTACCTCCTTTACTTACGAACAGCTATATGGATTTTATTTATTGAAGAATTTAACCTTCTAAATTTAAATGCCAACTATAAAATCTGACTTCTTAAAAGGTCATTAGAAAATTTTAAGAATTATTGATTTAAACGTGTTTTGGCAAGCACCTCAATGACATGTTGTTTCCTTCTGCTACCATAGTGGGTCTTTGCTGTGATAATTTCTCAACAATGTCGTCACTATGCAAAGTGCTTACCAGGACAGATGGACCGCTGCATCTTTATCCCAGAATTTCTTCTGGTTGATCTTGCGTTGATGAGCTGTGAAATTCTTAATAGCAAAATTATTGCTTATGTTCATGACTGTTTTAGTAGGAAGCCTGTTCTAATGGTTGTTTTAGACATTAGGCTGTCCCCTAAAAAGCAGCTTATGTCAGCTACTGGGACATAATAGCAGACTTCCCCGAAGTGCATTGCTTTTGCAAGGCACATATCATTATGCTTCCCTTACACTTTTCTTTTTTTTTTTTTTACCAAGTTATCATCTTAATTTTTCTTTCCAGTATTGAAGAGCAATATATCTAACTAACTAGTTGTATTTTCTTTCTCTTTCTTTAAACACTGCAATGCCCCGTAGACTTCTCTAAAGGCGGTAACCTAAAAAGAACAGATTAACGTGAAAATACATTATGTTCAGACTAATTAATCACTCATTAACTTTATAAACAGCTATGGCAAGCCAAATCCTGTTATTCACAAGAATAAGAATAGACATGAGAACTGTTTTAAAACTGAGTCTAGTAAAGCACTTTGCAAAAGCAGGTAGAAGAGAAAATTAGCCTAAGTGGAATCTTCTGTGGTGATTATTTTCAAGATAAATTTGCTTACGTAGAACGACCATTACTGACCAATTTGAGACACATTGAATGATCAATCATTACACAGACAGCAACTACAGCATGGGCATCCAAAGATATATGGCCCTTCTGTTCAAGTCTCAGCATCTAGAGCATGGAGATTCTGTGTGTGGGCAGAAGTGCAACTGGGCACAGCAAATGCACATGTCATAGCTGTAATCACAGCCCACCTCTCACCACCAAGCAGCATGTTATCCTTCCTCCTTATTCTCCATCTTGAAAGTCCTACATTAATGACAAATGAAAACCTGGAGAACTGTGACACCGTCTTTATTCACGTACTGTTGTTTAAAGATGGTGGGATTTCCTAGTTAGCTTTCCATGGTGTATTAGCGCTCTCTCAGGTTATGTTGGTGAAAGAAAATAAGAATCCTATACTTAGCTTTAAAACTCTCCAGTGCATGATTGTCCCCCCGTGCTGCCAGGCCTGTGGAAATGCTGAGCACTGCTTCTGTCTGCTTTGCAGGACCAGTGGTTTTGGCGAGTGAGAAACAACAGGGTGATGGATGGATACCCCATGCAAATTACTTACTTCTGGCGGGGCTTACCCCCCAGTATTGATGCAGTTTATGAAAACAGTGATGGAAATTTCGTCTTTTTTAAAGGTAAGCATGTTTTCTCAGACCGGTTCTGTTGCATATTGATCAGCTTGTTCAGGGCCCTATGAAGTAAAAGGAAGTGAAGAAATGAAGGTTATTGAGATTATATAACTGATTTCATGAAGTACAATGTATATAAAATAATAAAATAAAATGTCTGTGAAACAAAATAAGTATAATGTTTAATTTTGTAATTTATACTTTCATTTGCTGTATGCTTATGTGCAAGTCGAAATTTAGTGACATCCTTCTCTGTAGGAATTTTAGATTTTGATTATATATAACACAAACTAAAAGTAAGGGGTAGGGCAGGACTAGAACATCCCTACAACTCCAGCTACTTGGGAGACTGGGGTTGAAGCAGGAGAATGGTTGGAACTCAGTGGTTTGAGACTAATGTAAGCTGAGAATCATAGTAAGACCTTGTCAAAGAAAAGAAGAAGAGAAGGAAGGGAAGGAGGGCTAAAAGGAAGGGAGAAAGAAAGAATGAATGATTGAAAGAAAGAAAGGAAAAAGGATGGAAGGAAAGGAAGGAAGGAACCTACTTCTGGTCTGAGTGGAGACTTGACATTCTGATAAATTCCAAAGATTAGAGCATTGTATAATATTGTCTGCTCACTTAAGAGTTAATCAAGGTAGACCTGCCTATCACCTGCCAAGCCACCAGCTTTCAGGAGGGATGATTCATGTAAAATCATGCTACGAGAAAGGAGGAATAATTATCCAGTTAATGAAATAATGCACTTGCTCTTCCTGGAACACTTTCCTATGCATCCCGGGAAGAGATTTCACAGACAGAAATGTGATCTGTTTGTTTATCTGAGTACCCTGTTTTCCCAGAGCTACTCAGAAAAAAATAACTTTTCCTTTACAAAGTTTCTCTCTCTCTCTCTCTCTCTCTCTCTCTCTCTCTCTCTCTCTNCTCTCTCTCTCTCTCTCTCTCTCTCTCTCTCTCTCTCTCTCTCGATACTGGTCAATGCCTCCAAGATACTCTCTGTGCCTTCTTACTCTTTTTGTCTAAAACTATTACTTCAATCATTTTACTCTGTGACCCGTTTTCTGACATGTGGTTGCTCAATGGTCTCCATTGCTTTGCTCGTCTCGGTGTCTAATAAAATTGTGCTTAAGCTTCCTTCTTAGTATCTCTCTAAGCAATTTCATTAACAAGGCTAAGAACTCAATCAAGAACACCAGTTTGACTGGTAACAGTGGTGTGCGTCCTTGGTTCACAGTGGGATAATGCATGCATATTTCAGGTACATCTGCTATCAAATAGCAGGAGGGCAATGATATTAAAAATAATTACAGCAGTAGCAGCAGCCATAACAAGCATCCACTGACAACACACATGTGCCCAGTACTTCACATGTGGTAATAATTTGGCAGTCCTAATAATCCTGAGATAGGGAATAGGATGCACCATATTCACCGACAAGTAAGCGAAGTAAGCTGAGGCAAGGTATGCCGCCAAGTTCATGAAGTTAATAGAAATTTATAAAGAGCAACATAATACCAGAGCCCCCGTCACTGTATAACTTACCTACCATTCTTTCTATTTTAATCAAGAGATGATCCACATAGGAAAATAATTCAAGCATATATGTTGGAAGGAAGGGACCGCTTGTTGGTTCCCAGCCACTTAGCCCGTAAATAATCACACAAAAACTATATTAATTAAATCACTGCTTGGCCCATTAGCTCTAGATTCTTATTGGATAACTCTTACATCTTAGTTTAACCCATTTCTATTAATCTTTGTATTGTCATGTGGCTGTGGCTTACTGGCTAAATGAAAGGACTGAGACTCTGATAATTGTAAACTAACAACCTAGCTTGTCTTACTTTCATGGTATTTGGGATGAAGGCAGGAAAATCCTAAAAGGAGGGGAAAAGTTAGGTAAAAGCTCAGTAGCCTACAACCCAACTCCCATGGTGTGATACAAAGAAGGCCAGACAACCGCTCTTCATATAATTCATCTCTTGGATAAAAGGAACAGGAAAACTAAACAAGAAGCAAGCACCCCAACTGTTTTCTGAGGGTAAGCATTTCCTTTACTATACTGGACAGTAGATAAGCCTCTGCTAGGATGACGAGTTACTGCACTGTGGTCTGAGAAGATCTAGTATGCAAACACCTTTGCAAATGTGTTTCACGGTAAAGGCAGTCAGTGCTTCCGTTTAAAAAAATAGTGCAAAGCAAGAATTTGTTTTCTACTACACATTAGTAAAGAAATAAAGGCCTTATCATCTAAAAGTTTAAATATTTCTGCATTGATTGCAAAACATGTAACACATAAGCATTACAAAACACAAAACAAAAGTACAGAAATTTTAGGTGAATTATGTTCTATTCGTGGTAAAACAATCAATATTTTTGCGGTGTGAAGTCTAATCACATTTATCTACAGGCTCATTGCTGTTCTGCTTAAACTTGTACAGGCTTCGTTGTATAATACGTACTAGTGGTTGAGCTAACTCTAAAACCCATACATGAAAGACTTGTCATACAAAAAGAGGCCGTGAGATTACTACTTCAATTTGAGTCATATTTTACCACTGTTGAAGACAGTAAATCACTGGCATGAAGAAAGAAAATTAGAATTAGATGGCACTAAAAGGGAACAGCTAGTTCAGAAACAGACCCAAACATATATCTAAAAGTCGTGCTTTTCTTCAGAGACTTCTTTGAAAGATACAGAAAAGGTTCAGTGGGGGGAAACAAAGGGCCTCCCAACAAACACTGCCTAAACCGTGCCAAGGTATGCACAAATGACATAAACTCTGATATGTACCTTGGACCATATATGAAATCACAATGACCTCATCCTCATGCTGAAAGCAGTGGACTCTCTGAATGTTCTACACGAGTATTGGAGACACCTGTGACGTAGCTTGGGAATGACAGAGAATGACTGAATCATAAACCACAAAGATTTTCATTTTTTTCTTTAAAGACAGCTTAAAGTACAAAAGAAGACAGTGTGTCTTGTGTGTATATTTCTGCAGTGTCCCCAGGATATACAAAGTATTCTGACAATATAATTTTATAAAGCTCAATAGAAACTAATAGAATGTGGACAAAACTTCCATCAAGATTAATACATGGATTACAGATGAGATTTGGTGAAGTGGGAAGGAACACAGGCAAGCCTGTGGAAATCCAGTATAAAATGATTAGTATTTTAGTTATTTGATATTTTGACAGGTGTATATATATATATATATTACAAATTATATACTTTAGATACATGGTATTACTTGTAATTTATTATGTTGTGATATAACATATAATATATATATACCAAACTAAGTTATTCTGTAAAGGAGCCAAACTATCAGTTTATGTATTCCATAGATTGATATATGCTGGGTCACAGGTATTAGAATTGTATTAGAATATATTTCTTTATTATTCTAGAACATGTTAAATGTAAGCATCAACACAATGCATTTCTCCTTCTAGTTCACTACTGGATAAGGAGGTATAATGACAACCAGTAAGGGCTCCTCACAGCAGTTTCTTCTTTCCTAGCAACTTCCTGAGTTGAGTTACATCCTAGTATCGGGACTCTTTTTACAGTGAGGAATTAATATACCGAAGCTATATTAAAAACAATGTATAATCTTAATTTAATGTTATGTACTGCTCTCTTGAAATGATTTTAATGTGTTTGCTAATAATAACCTCTATTAATAATCATTATTAAATATGTCAGCAACCTCATTTTTCTCAATCTCACAATGTTATATTTCATTGTTATTGCTATCCTATTTTCACTAATTTTCCTAGTTTAGTTTTGCTTATTTTTAATAAGAATCCTTAAGATTTTGTGAAACGAAGGAACACAGAAGTTGACAACACCTTAAATGATTTAAAATTTAGTATTTAAAATTTACTAAATGTATAGATGTACAGTTCTCTCCTATAAAAAAAAATGAAGTCGTTTCAGAGATTAGAGAGAGCTCCATGGTGGAGTGCTTGCTCGTGCAGAGGACCAGAGCTTAGTTCCTAGTGCTCATATCAGGAAGCTCAAAATCCCCTCAGCACTCCGCTGTACTGTCATCCTCACTCACAGACCCTCACACATTCATATACATAGCTAAAAGTAAATAAAATAAAAGGAAGTCATTACATAAAGTCTCACTCAACTTGCCGTGATGCTTCACACGGTAAACTACAAAGGAGTGTGAGCTGGGTATGAGGATGGATGTAAAGCAGGTTGTTCTCAGCAGTAATTTGTTGTACAAGCAATGACTGGGTTACATGTGTGATTGTGGGGTCTAGATCAACGACCTCCCCTTATTCCTTTATTTTACATCAGGCAACTAATGAAACTCCTTCACTGGGTTCATAAAAAGGCATCTTTAGTCCGAAAGGATAGGAAATGGAATGTGCCATCGAGTGTGCAGTGCATCCCCCTGTGGTGATTCTAGAAATCTGTGTAGATATCCACAGACACAGCTGATCTCACAGGATCTCATTTGACGAACATAATCATGGCAGATGTTTACATTCAATTACAAGGCAGGTTGACTGAGTGGCTATGAGCTAATAATATGAAAAATAATCTATGTAGAAAATAGAGCTGGTAAAATGTCCCTCAAGAAGAAAGTAAATTTTTAAATGAAGAACAAGCCACCATCAAACTCAAGCATTTTAAAATTTGTCTCCATTTCCAATTTTGCTATCACTTTATATCTGTAAGAGGTATTTCCTACCATGTTTGACAATTTCATTTCCAGAGGCAGACAAAAAAATAGCACTTACAGGATCGAAACAAGACAAATAGAGGCTCATAACATTTGAGAAGAAAAACATTAAAAAGATTTGCAGCAGATGAAAAGATATAGGAATGTCTAAATAGACCAGGCCATAAAATGGCCCACGTCTGCTTATTGCAGAATAGTTTCTGTTCTTTGCATATTTCCTTTTTTTCAAATGAGCCAACACTTTTTTAATGCTGCTGAAAAATCATTGTTCTTGGGAGTTTTAAAAGTTCTAATGAAGTTCATTTGAGATCAAAGTAACCTGTTTCTTACAGAGTACAGTGAATAAAAGAACTCTACCATAAGTGAGTATTTTACTGCGGTCACCATCTATTTGAAAAACAAAGTTAGACTACATCTTCCAGAGCCTTGCTACATGTAAAAACACACGTCAAGCATGGGAATAGCATTAAATTAATGATTAATATTAATCACATTCTAGATTTTTTAAATTTTGTGACAAAGTTTTAATTAAATGGAAGACTATAATGAAAATACATATTAACAACTTTCTAAACTTAGTCTAAAATACAATGGCACATGCCATACTAATGTTTTAAATCTCCTTGTTTTATTGGCCTTACCCAGGAACACATGTACAATAAAATCTGATAGTTGGTAACTTAAAATTTCCAATGATATTAGATATTTAACCTTATGTTTTTCAAAAATCTAAGATTTTAAATTATTGTTCATATTATTTATAATTCAAACTGCAGTCTTCTAACATCAGTATTACCTGCATATATAAAATCTTTCCTCACTTTCAAAAACTTTCATTGCATCCTTTTATTTACATTTGCTATGAGATCAGGAAAACCCTGAAATCTCACAGGCTAAATAACTGAGCATACACAGAGGCACACAGAGACTGTCTCAAACAAGGTGAAAGGTGGGACCAAAGCCTGAGGTTGTCCTATGGTTCTTGGAATGTGGCCACCAAAATCACATATTTGAACAAGTAAGCACACGTGCATGCACACACATCTTATGTACATATAAATATGCATATGTACATATAAATATACATATATATATCACTTGCAATCACAAAATACAAGAAACGATTTTAGTAGAATAATAAGAATTTTATATAAAGTCATCAACACTTTGTTATTCTCTCTTGAGACGTACAGCCAAATGTAAAGAAAGCTCTGAACACTTCATTCTGTGTGTTCACCCATTGTGAATATGAGAAAAGAGTTAAGAAACTGTCATGAAAGGAGTAAAGTTCAAAACTGTCAAGATGCACATTATAAAGTATAGAATGTTCTACTGGAAAGTCACAGTGGAGCTCAGTTGACCAAAGACACTCTCGGTAGCTGACATGGAGGGCATTGTAGCCACAGGTCCTCTCCTAATTAGAATCAGGATGAAAGGACAGGACGGAGGAAGTCTACACATAGGTGATTAGGCTGGACCTTTTAAAAGTTTTCCACTGTTGTTTTAACATGTGCTGTTCTAATGATGAAAGAGATGTGGATTAAAGAAGACTTGAGCTGTGAAATATAGTTCTTTCGATTTTTTTCCCTCGTTACTCTGTCAAAGATTTGATCTGGACATTGGGAGAGGCACCTTCTTTAAAATATCCAGACATAAAAGAACCTGAGGAAAGCATGTATTCTATGATGACATTTCCCAACACACCATTAAATATAGTATCTGCATAGTCTTTTTTCACAGTAGTGAGCCATGACTGTTTGCTCAGACATGCTATTTGTGATAAGATCCATCTTCCAGGTTTGCTAACAAGATTCAAAGCTAATAGCAAACATATCATTTAGGTAGTATCATGGTAAGGATAAAGCCTAGACACTCGGGCAATATAAGCAAACCATGCTATGTAGGAAGGTGTTTCAACAAAAATAACCCGAATATATACTGAAGGGATTACCTCACTTTATTTTTTAGGTGAGGTAAGCAAATGATGTTGAAAGGAGCCTTGAAATGTCACATGTGTGCATTAAAATTCTACCTTGTGAACAATTAGAAAAAAAGACGTAAAAATTTTAGACAAAACCTGGGGTATATTCAGAGTCCAGTTTTATCCCATGCTTATTGAGAGCTGATGAGAAGCCAAGGACAATGGCACTGGGTTTTGATCCTACTGCATGAACTGGCTTGGTAGGAGCCTAGCCTGTTTGAATGCTCACCTTCCTGGACCTGGATGGAGGGGGGACTTCTCACAGGACAGGGAATCCTGACTGCTCTTCAGACTCGAGAGGGAGAGGGAATGGAGTAGGGGAGGGGAAGAGAAGTGGGGAGAGGGGGAGAGGAGTGCGCAGAGGGGGAGAGGAGAGGGAGGTGGGGGAGGGAAGTGGGAGGCGGGTGGAGGCAGAAATTTTTCAATAAATAAATATATATATATATATAAATAAATTAAGCTTTACTTTGAAAGATAAAAAAAACTGGGGTATAAAGTTTAGAAGAACTTCTCTAGTGCCTTAAGAAATATGAACAGAAGGAAGACAAGCTAGAGGCAAGCTGGAAAAGAAAGATTTGAAATAGAACAAGCTACACAGTTGTCATCAAGTCACTAAGGAACCTGGCTAGAAGTCAGCATGGTATGTTGGCTAAAAGCCAGGACTCTGATTCCAAGATTTGGAGGCTCAAATGCATGTCATACTTCATATAGAATTTGGATGCACAAAGTTCATAAGGAGATACCTTGTTCCATTATAACAAAAGCTCCCATGGATTAACTGAGCTCGTGATAACTCACAACCAGGAACTGCGTAGGCGCACCTTCTCTAGTGAGCACCTGGTAGCTCACTCTTGACAGCTCAGCTCTGATTTACTCCCTCCTCTTTTTCTCTTTCAGTTCAGCTGTGTTCCTGAGTCTTTCCCTCCTCCTCCTCCTCCTTGTTTTAGTGTAGAGGGAGCATATGGAGAAAAAGTTACAGAGTACTTGCTTTTTAGAAGAGACAAAAGAAAGCTTTGTATTACTCTCAATTAAAGTGGCCTTCAAGGGACAAATTTTAGTGACTGAGAAATCAGTTGACTGTAAGATACAATCAATATGAAAAGACAGTGAACACAGTTTATGTTGTGATCATCTGAATAAGTTTTATGACAGAAGCCTGAATAAGATTAATAAGAAGATAGTGGTTAATATTAATTGCCAAGTTTACCCAACCTGGATTCCCCTTGAAAAGAAACATTTAGTGAAAGATTGCCCTAAAGGCATGTCTCTGGGGAGATGTCTGGATTATTTGTTAATCAGTGTGAGAAGACTCATTCCTCTGTGGGCAACACTATTGTCTGGGTTTTGATTTAGGACTACATAAGGATAGAGAGCAGCTGAGTACAGGAGAGGGTGCATGCATTCATCTCTCTCTCTGCTCTTCTTGGTTGTGGGTGTGATTAGACTCGCAGGGCTGCCCCTTAGTGACCTATCTCAGCCTACCAGACCCCACCTCCCAAAGACCTCAAAACCTTCAAAATAGCAATCCTAGAACCCAGTGTTGCGAACATGAGCCAGAATTATAGTAAGAAAAAAGAAATAATTAATGTACTGATGAGTACAGAAGAAATACAAAATAAATCAAGCTCAGATAACAACAGCTAGAGAGGAAAAAGGAACAAGATAAAATGGCTTCCTAATTGCTTAAGGAAGAAGCTACTTTAAGTGGTGAGTTTAATCTACAGATAAGATTGAATATATTAGTTATGTTCTATTGTAATGCAAAGAACCCATCACAAATGCAAATCTTATAAAGGAAAACATTAAACTGGGGCCTTGCACGTTCAGGGCCTTACTTCATTATCATGACAGGCAGCATGGTAGCATCCAGGCAGGCTGGAGAAATAGTTGAGAGCTTTAAATCCTGATCCTCTAGCAAAACATAGTCTTGCTGGGTCTGACGTGGGTTTTTAAAACGTAAAGTCCACCCAACTGACATACTTCCTTCAAAAAGGCCACGGCTACTCCTACAAGGTCATACCTCCTAATCCTGATAATACTTTTCCAAAAAATTTACCCCATGGGAACTAAATAAACAAATATATTAGCCTATGGGGGCTTTTCTCATTCAAATCACCACACTGAAGAATCATTTAACTGGAATTATTGATGACCCTCAAAGGGAAAGTTTCTGTTAAATGTCAGGTTGAAATCAACTTTCTGTGAAGTAAGAAATGGTTACAGGGTATGGCATACTGAGTAAGTGTTGTGTGCAGTGTGACTATGACTGACTTATTTCCAGGATCTCCGGCACAGTAGTTTACTCGCATTATGCTGACAGGTACCTTGTAACTGATGTTTCACTAACACATTCTGTACCTACACTTATTTCATACAGGTAACAAATACTGGGTGTTCAAGGATACAACCCTTCAACCAGGTTACCCTCATGACTTGGTTACCCTTGGGAATGGAATTCCCCCTCACGGTATTGATTCTGCCATTTGGTGGGAAGATGTTGGCAAAACCTACTTCTTCAAAGGCGACAGGTGAGTATGTGTGTGCCACACTGCAGACACACACTTTAGCTGTTACTGAGTGATTTTTAAAATCAGGTCCGCAGTCAATGATTGATATTACGTAATGACACGTATGTATGTGAACACAAGAGTTATCCAGAAAGATTGACAGTGTATTTTATATAATATTTTTAAGATGAATTTTCATTGACTATATTCATCTAATATAATTTAGTTATGAATATAGACATGTCCAATAAACTATATTGTTCCTTTACCCATGGTTCTAACATGCTATGTAAGCTCTAAATAAATATATCTGTAAACACAAATATACATGCATTGTATATCCTTGTTATAGATTTTCTGTAGCTACTTATTTTTTAGAAGAAATAATTGTTAACACAAATTTGTTTAGTTTTACCTTCAGAGTATTTTTTTTCACTTTACATATAAATATTATCATTCTCCAATAATTTTATGTTATTAACAGTTCTGCAAAGTAGAAATAAGAAAAAATTATAAAAATGGGTTCTGTTTCCTAAGAAGTAATGTCTTCAGATACCAGCATGCAGATAATGTGAAGTATTAATAACTCATCAATGGAAGTACAACGTCCCTCCCAGTTTTCTTATTTAGTCTGATTTCTTTCCCATAGCATTGTTAATGAGGTCCATAGAATACAAGTAAATAGTTCTACCTAGGACATGAGTTGGTACACTGCTGTATAGATAAAATAAGAAGACGAATTTTTATTAACCTAATCTGAACTAGAAAAATTAATAGAAATGAAAATTCTAATTTCCGCTGAATTGTTAGTAGCTGGGCCAAAGTGTGAGTCTCTGTTTTCCCTGTCTATAAAGGGCCATAATATGCCATTGTACATCTTTTTATAAGGAAATTTATTAAATATACACAAATATAGAAATAGGACTTGAATTTCCAACTCGGCAGCAAAATTTACTTTACTGTTATTACATAAAATAATCCTAGAATATGCTCACTACTTTAGGAGAAAAATAACTTAGACTATGAATTTTATTTTAAAATTTACAAACTTTACTTGCAAGAGACTTTAAGCATTTAACTTTACTTGAAAAAAAATAATATTTGATATTTGGTTTCTATGGATAATAATGTCCATTTATAGATGCATTGTGTTTTTAGCTTTCATATGGATTAATTTTTTTGTTGCAAAATCTCCTACTTTACAATTCACTATAATAAATTCAGGGCTTTCCTAAAATATTTCCAAATGAATCACGAACAAAATGATCCATCAAAGACATGTAAACTACGATCAAAGAAAGTAGATAGCACTCTACAGAGTAAAAGCTGATGTGAATGAAATAGATGAGGAACTTTGTTATAGAATAATCATAATAGTGAATCTGCAGATTGACAGCATAGTTTCTTATTTTGTTGTTTTTGTTTGAAAAGGGTTCTCCCTATTGTCCTAGGTTGACTTTGAACTTGAAATCTTTGATTAGTATTAGAGACCAGCTGCCACAAAGATGTCACTTAACTGGGTAGGGGCATGAGAATTAGAAAAATAAATAAAGAGAAGGAAGAATCAAGTGAAGAATAACAAACCCCGCAACTGACAAAAGTCTGATCTCCAAAACATAAAAAGAACTCAAGAAACTAGACTGTAAAAGGCTAATCAACCCAATTATAAAATGGGGCACTGAGCTGACCCGAGAATTCTCAACAGAAGTTCAAATGGCCAAAAGACACTTAAGGTTATGCTCAACTTCCTTAGCGATCAGGGAAATGCAAATCAAGACAACTTTAAGATACCATCTTACACTTGTCAGAATGGCTAAAATCAAAAACACCAATGATAGCCTTTGTTGGAGAGGTTGTGGAGTAAGGGGTACACGCATCCATTGCTGGTGGGAATGCAAACTTATGCAACCACTTTGGAAAGCAGTGTGGTGGTTTCTCAGGAAATTCAGGATCAACCTACCCCTGGACCCAGCAATACCGCTCTTGGGAATATACCCAAGAGATGCCCTATCATACAACAAAAGTATATGCTCAACTATGTTCATAGCAGCATTGTTTGTAGTAGCCAGAACCTGGAAACAACCTAGATGCCCTTCAATGGAAGAATGGATGAAGAAACTATGGAATATATACATATTAGAATACTACTCAGCAGTAAAAAACAATGACTTCTTGAATATTGCATGCAAATGGACAGAAATAGAAAACACTATCCTGAGTGAGG